TATTTTATTCTACTGTATATAGTATTTTATTTTATTTTATTCTATTCTGTACAGCTGTGTACTGTATTTATTCTTATTGTATTCTAATTTTTGCGTCATAACTTTTGCACTGTCCACTTCCTGCTGTGACAAAACAAATTTCCCACGTGTGGGACTAATAAAGGTTATCTTATCTTATCTTATCTTAAGTTATTCAGATGTGGAAAAAGACCCAAACTGTCACACAGGAAATTGGCTAGGATCTTCAGAAACAGCACAGAAACTACCAAGGTTCAAGCCTGACATGAACTGGAAACCTCTGGAACACCAGAGAGGGTGCCAATTAAGAAAGAAACCCCTGCTCCAATATAGACCTCTTTTTTTAACGTTTATTATGTGGCAAGACAACGATTGAACTTATATCGTTGCCTTGAGTTATAGTTGGAGTAAAGATGAGGCTTTCAAACCCAAGAACACTGCACCAACTGTCAAGCATGGTGGTGGTAGCATCATTCTCTGGGCCTGTTTTGCTGACAGTGGTAAAGGTGCACTGCACAAAGTGGATAAAAATCAAAAGTGGATGGATGAAACTTGGATTTCAGCTGTAACTAAGTTTCTGAAATGGCCTTCCCAAATCCCCTATATATGCAAGTATATAGACAGTATAACAGAGCCTGTATTTATATATACTTTTGACCGTGTGTGGATTAGAGAAAATACAAAATAAATTGAAACTTGGGCACCCAGTACTTGTTTTATCAAGTCATTAAAGATGTATGCTATACAATCATTCCAGAACAAAGAACAGCTTAAAGAAATCATTAAAAGCCAGAAATTATCATGACATTCATGCCCATAATTAGTTTAAACATTTTATTAAACAGCTTTCAGTCTAAATGTACTGAGCATGTGCAGTGGTTCACAGATATATTTCTCTTAATCTGTAGCCATGTTTGCTTTGAAATCTCTGATGGTTTTGATCTCATTTTCTTACCTTATGTACACGACCCCTCCACCATGCTCTGTCTTGCGCTGCCAGCCAATGGGGACCTGGACAGGGACGGCCTGCCTCTCATCTCCTGCCTCGCAGTCCTTTCCGCCATTCATTGCTCCGCTGGTTTTACGCTCGACACCTCAGAGGTATATATATCAGACATCAACCAGTGTCTTCGCAATGCGCATCATGTTTGTCTTCCAAAGCCGTGGCCGAGGTGGCGATAGGAGGGAGGGTTCAGGATGATGAATATTCACTTCAGAGTGGGAGTGTGCTCTCAGGTGGAGCTGATGGGGGATGGGGGTGCAGGGTGGGTAGGGTGAGGCGAGCTCACGGCAGACCCTACCCTTTGAGCTGCTTCATGGCCACGGTGCTGAACGGCGGGTGGACTTCCATTACTGCAGCTCGTCATTCGGAGCCATCCGACTCAGGAGGGGAGAAGGAGGAGGGGTGGGGGGTTGGGGTGAGGAATCGGCTGTGCGTTGAGGGGAGAGTCGCTTTACTTTTAATTTTTCACCATTTGTCTCTCACCGCCCAGAACAGGCTCCCCTCAGGCGGACATGTTGCGGACCATGTTCAACATATTGGTTCCCAAATGCAGTTGGGTAGTGGTATTCCCATGGTTCCTTTGAGGGCAGAGGAGAAAAGACAGAGGTGTAAGAACAAGAAACAAAGAATTACACATCAAAAATATTTAACAGGCGTACAGCCCTAATAGAAAATGATTTCTTAGTTAACAAAAGCACATCAAGAGCGCAACTCCCCCGAAGGGCAAGGGCTTCAGCTGCAGGGCGTTGCATTGAAAAGATAAAGTCCGTTGTACAGCCCTCCCCATGCCCGTTCATGAAACATTATACTTGATATGGTTTCCTTCTTTAATTTTTTAAATTTTTTTTGTATCCAGGTTTAAGTTTTACCTTGGGCGCTAACAATAAAGGTCAAGGCCAAATAATTACCCAATCCAGGTACTCATGTACCCGAAGGCCTAGTATATTGTTGTGAAATTGTGGGTAATATAACGTTTTTAAGTTTTTTTAAAATTTGGTGTCACCTTGACCTGATTTTCATGAAAATTAAATCAGCTTGAGCTGTTGTTGGTATCTACCATCACATAAAATTTGAAAATTATATCTTGTAAACTGTGAAGACTAAACTGCTAACAAAAACACAGACAGACAAACGGAACTAATTACATACTCTCTCTTTTTGGAGGGGAGAGTAAAAAGGTAATATCTAAGCCACAAAGCCTATTGTTCAGAACTAATTTAAGAAATTTAACCCCCATGATGCACTCTAATTTACTTTGGGGCGATACGGGGAAATACAGGGAATAACAAAACTCTGCAGTTATATCTAAATAATTTCTCGTGGCTCAATGGACAGTTAAAATTAGGGTGGGGCCACTCTGATATGTCGATATCAGTTGGTTCCTGACCCAAAAAGCTGGAAGAGATATCTGTAGCTCCTGGCTCTGAAAAGTGAAGCCGATGCAGATTTGTCTTACAACTGCATTCTATTTAATGAGCATTAGGAGGCGAACTCTCTGACTCTGCAAAGAGGACTGCCTATAGAAGTCTAGGGGAAGAAAACCCCTTGCATCTGTAGAGTGACCTCAGAAAACATTTTCCTGATGAGTTTATGTGCTCAGACACCAATTTCAAGCCATACTGAGTAAAACACTAATTTGACCTTGTAAATTATGGTCAAAATTAGAAACCCTGGCTGATTGTGACCCACACCCAGTTTCACACCTTGGCTCAGGCGATTAGAGGATCATCAGGGGGTCCTTTTGTCCCTCTTTGGGGGGATACTGCCACTAGGTTTAAATCTGGGACTCCCCACCATTTGACCTTAGAACTGAAGAAGCTTCTCGGATGAGAGGTGAGACATCTTCAAGCAACTTAAAGAAGTCCAGATGCTTTTCTTTGCAAGCTCCTTTGACTACAATGACCTGGATGACTGAGAACCTTCACAGACATTAATGATGACTATTGCTATCATTCAGAGACCAAAGCAATTGTAAATGTACTACTAAGAGTCCGGGAATTATAGTTGACCACAGATTATAAAGAGTTCTTGGTCTATGAGTAGGATATCGAGTAAAAGTAATAGTAAAACCAAGGTGCATACTTTATTAAAGGTCTTTCACCTTCAACACGACAACAGCACCACTGCGCAATGCAAGGACAGTTACCCGTCAAAGAACAGCGCAAGCATGCCCGTCGGGGGAGCCTTGGTGCTTGCTGTAATGTGACATACATATAGTGGACCAATAAAAATGCAGAATGACAAGAAGTGTGCTTTTCATACAAGCAAAATCCACAAACAGTCTGCAAACATGATGTAGACCAGAATGTAGTTAATTTTGGGTCTTCAGGCTATGAGATGGAGTCAGACCGCAAGCAAAAGACTAGCTTTTAATGTTTAAAGCAAGTTTAAAGTTTCAAAGCTTTAATGTACAGATTACAAATCAACGACTTCACCAAGAGGGAGACAAAAAATATTAATTCATGAATACATGACTGTTCTTGACAAGATGAACTCCTCTTTGCAGCTCAGAAACTTGAGCCAGAAAACTTGAGTTATTCTGCGACCTTCTAAGAAATGGAACAGGAATGATAGCTCAGCTCTCGAGTCTCCAATGGTCCATGTCTGTAGCAAAGTATAATCAAGGTCTTAACAAAGAAAGGTGATAACCAGCATTGTACACATTAACTCTTACTGGGGTTTTACGTTTTGTCAAGCGAGCTAATGCAAAGAAAGCCTGGCTACTAGAAGTAGTAACATCTCGCTGCAAGAAAACCAACATCAGCTGTTTGGTACCAGAACCAATACCAGTATCCTTACTAGGAGTCTGTAGCTTAATCGCCTAAATATTAGACGAAGGTTTACACAGCAATTGATTGTTGAAAATGCTTTCATTTATCCTAACCGCTTTCATAACAACAGGTCTTTAATCTTGCCTCAACATTCAAGTCTATATAAAGAAAACAAAAAAAACAACAAAACTGCAGCAGTTTTGTCAGCTTCCCCCCGTCTCCCTATCAGACAGTAGGAGAAGCCCGTCAAAGCTGGTAATCAGGCTGAATAGAGCCTGTGAGTGATGGAGCTCCATGCAAAGCTTCCTCTCAGCCGCTGGTGCTGCTGACTCATAACTGAGACCAAACTCAGTGACACCACCACAGAGGAAGAACGGTTTAAAAATAAAATAAAATAAAATAAAGAAAGAAAAGAAAGAGGTGGCAGTTAAACATACACAGTTTATCTGAAAAGACACGACAGCAAAAGGAGAAACCTCTGTTGCATAGTTAAAATCTAATTTAACATAAGTCTAAGTCTAGAGAAGACATCGTTTCTACCGTTGGGTTCACACTGGAGAGAAAATGAATTATGCTTCCCTGTAGGAGCCCAGTGCAGCGTTGCTATTTGAAGACATCTTTGGCTTTTATAAATGCTGTTTTTTTGAGGCATGCTCTCTTGTATTATTCCCTCAAATTGGAAAGATGCAGACTCGTAAAATCATGGGCCTGACCTCAATCAAACACTTTTAAATTACCAACCACCGAGAGCTACTCTACAACACAAAAATTCATAAGCATGATTATTTTGTAGGGGTGGGGGAAAAAAATCGATACTGTGTAGTATCGTGATATTTTGTTTGCTAATAATGTATCGATACAGGGACAGCAGAAATCGATATTTTGTTACAA